TAAGTGCCTACTATGTGTAGTATTAATTTTATTTTTTATAGGACTTATTTATTTATTTATTTATTGAGAGGAGGTCTCACTCTGTCACCCAGGCTGGAGTGCAGTGGTATGATCTTACTTCACTGCAACCTCCATCTCCCAGGCTTAAGCAATCGATTCTCCCACCTCAGCCTCCCCAGTAGCTGGGACCACAGGTGTGTGCCACCATGCCTGGCTAATTTTTGTATTTTTTGTAGAGACGGGCCTTCACCATGTTGGCCAGGCTGGTCTCCAACTTCTGAGCTCAAACAATCCACCTGCCTCAGCCTCCCAAAGTGCTGGGATTAGAGGTGTGAGCCACCGTACCCAGTCTATTTTTTCTAAGATTTAAATAATATGTGTTCAGGCTGGGCATGGTGGCTCATGCCTGTAATACCAGCACTTTGGGGGGCTGGGCACAGTGGTGAAGCTCCGTCTCTACAAAAAATACAAAAGTTAGCTGGGCATGGTGGCACACACCTGTAATCCCAGCTACTTGGGAGGCTGAGGCAGGGGAATTGCTTGAGTCCAAGAGGCGGAGGTTGCAGTGAGCCAAGATTGTGCCACTGCATTCCAGAGTGGTGACAGAGCAAGACTGCCTCTAAATAAATAAATAAATAAATAAATAAATAAAATGTGTTCATTGTAGAACATTTAGAAAATATATTAAAACAGAAAGAGAATGGGAATGAACACCCACAATATCACGACTAGAACAGCCCATCTCTTTCTAGAATTTGCTAACATCAAGTGGTAGGTTCAACAATGTCAAGTTATACCTATAAAATAAATGAAGATAGATCAAGATAGGTTAAAAAGTTTCCAGGTTTCATCTTACTCTGACTCTAATGTGCACAATTCCAATTTTGCTACATTGCGTTCCCTTTTAGATAATGGATTTCTAGAGCCCAGGATATGGCTGTGTCACATTTGTTTGGAATGGTGCACATCTATTATGAAATGACACATATATATGGGTACCAGTTTATAAATCTCTCTTGATGGAGATTAAATCCCTTTCTTTGTGCTAAAGGGCCAAGGTGTATGACCAACATCATTTGGTCTCCAAGGCAGTAATATATAGAGGAAAACTCACAGGCTTTGGAATCACGGATGGAGTGGGGAATGCAGGCAAGAGATCTAATACTTATTTAGGAGTGCTCTATAGTCAGACAACGTGGTAAAATTTATACTAGACTTGAGTAATGTCTAAGATGTATTTTTTAATCTCTAAGGTAACAACTACATGAATAGTAATCAAATCTATAATTAACAAGATAATAGGGAAAATGGAATTATTAAAAAAAATCATTATACAGTTCAAAAGAGGGCAAGAGAAAAGAGAAAAAGCAATATAAAACAGGCAGAACAAATACAAAGCAAATAGTAAGATGGTAGATTTAAGCCCCAATATACCAGATATACCATCTATAATATATATTATAGGTAAGCAGCCTAAACATTCTAATTAAAACACAAAACTTGTCAGAATGGATTAAAGAATAACTATATGTTGCTTACAAGTGATCCACTTTAATATAAAGCTACAGAAGGCTAAAAGTTAAAAGGTGGAAAAAGATATGCCATGCAAATATTAACAAAAAAGTTGATGTAGTTGTATTAATATTAGATAAAATAGACTTAATTTATTTTTTCTTTCTTTCTTTCTTCTTCTTTTTAGAGACAGGATCTTGCTATGTTGCCCAGGCTGGAGTGCAGTGGCTATTCACAGGCACGATCCCACTACTGATCAGCACAGGAGTTTTGGCCTGCTCCGTTTCCGACCTGGGTCGGTTCACCCCTCCTTAGGCAACCTGGTGGTCCCTCGCTCCCAGGAGGTCACCATACTGATGCCGAACTTAGTGCAGACACTCGATTGGCATAGCACTACAGCCCAGAACTCCTGGGCTCAAGCGATCCTCCCACCTCAGCCTCCCGAGTAGCTGGGACAACAGGCACGTGCCACCGTTCCAGGCGATAAAGTAGACTTTAGAGCAAGAAGTGGTAGTAAAGACAAAAAGGGACATTTCATAATGATAAAAGAGTCAATTCAGCAGGAAGATCAAATAATTCTAAATTTGCATGCATCTAATAATACAGCTTTTAATAATATAACAACACTATGTCTATGAGATTCATCCATTTGTTTGCATGCAGCAGTAGTTTGTTCGTTATTATTGTTGGATGGTGTTTCATTGCATAAATATATTGGAAGGTTTTAAACAACTTTTCTCAGTATTGGTAGAATAATAAGATGAAAAAGTGTAAGAATATCAAATACTTGAATTGCACAAGTAATCTAAACAATGGACAAACGTAGATCCCTGCATTCTAAACTGCAGAATAGTTTATTTTTAGGTGCAAGGAACATCTACAAAATTTTACTACATGAAAAGCATAAAGTAAGTCTCAACAAACTGCAAAGGTTGAAATAACACAGAGTATATCCTTTGGCTATTGCAAAATTAAGCTGCAACTTTAAAATTATTAATAATTATTAAGATTATTAAAATTATAAAATGTCTAGAAAAAAACATAATAAAATATTTGTGACCGGCTGGGTGCAGTGGCTCACGCCTGTAATCCCAGCACTTTGGGAGGCTGAGGTGGGTGAATCACCTGAGGTCAGGAGGTTGAGACCAACCTGATCAACATGGAGAAACCCCTTCTCTACTAAAAATACAAAATTAGCTGGGCATGGTGGCGAATGCCTGTAATCCCAGCTACTCAGGAGGCTGAGGCAGAATCACGTGAACCTGGGAGGCGGATGTTTCAGTGAGCCGAGATCACGCCATTGCACTCCAGCCTGGGCAACAAGAGCAAAACTCTGTCTCAAAAAAAAAAAAAAAAAATGGTGATCTTGTGTTTGACAAACATTTTTTGATAGGACACAAATAGGACAAGCCATAAATGATGAATAAACAAACTAGATTTGCCCAAATAAAAACTAGTGCTCTTTCTAAGATGCTGTTAAGAAAACGAAAAGCTGCCGGGCGTGGTGGCTCATGCCTGTAATCCCAGCACTTTGGGAGGCTGAGGCGGGTGGATCACCTGAGGTCAGGAGTTCGAGACCAGCCTGACCAACATGGTGAAACCCTGTCTTAAAAAAAAAAAATTCCAGGCCGGGCACGGTGGCTCACACCTGTAATCCCAACACTTTGGGAGGCCAAGGTGGGCAGATCACCTGAGGTTGGGAATTCGAGATCAGCCTGGCCAACATGGTGAAACCCCATCTCTACTAAAAATACAAAAAATTAGCCAGGCATGGTGGTGCTCATTGTAATCCCAGCTACTCTGGAGGCTGTGGCACGAGGATCACTTGAACCTGGAGGTGGTGATAGAGCAAGACTCTGTCTCAAAAAAAACAAAAACAAAAACAAAAACAAACAAAAAAAGAAAATGAAAAGCTGAACTATAGACAGGGATGAACTATTGTAACTTAACAGAGATAATAAAGGACTTTATCCAGAATATGTGATGAACTCTCACAATTTGATATTAAGAAAATAAACAACTGAATTTAAAAAATATGGATAAAAGATTAGAATAGCTGCATCTGTTACAGTGGCTTAAAAAATGACAAAACCAAGTGCAGGTGAAGAATGGAGCAACTGGAACTCTCATATAATTCTAGTGGGAATGTAAAATGGTACAATCACTTTGGAAAACGGTTTTGTATAGAGTTAACCATACACTTCCCATGTGACCCAACAACCCTACTCCTAAGTATTTACCCAAGAGAAATAAAAACATAGGTCCACACAAAGACTTGCATGCAAATATTTATAGCAATTTTCTTGGTCATTGGCCTAACCTAGAAACAACCCAAGTGTCTATCATCTGGTGAGTGAATAAACAAATTGTGCTATGCAATGGCATACTACTTAGCAATAAGAAGGACCAAGCAATTAATACAAGCAACATGAATGAAGCTCAAAAGCACTATGTTAAATGAATCTCAGACATAAAAAGTCTTGTTTTGTTTATATGACATTCTGAGAAAAGCAAAAATTATAGAACAGAAATCAGATCAGTGGTTTTTAGGGGGCTGAGGCTGAAGAGAGAGGGCCGACTATATGGTACAAGGGCACTTGGTGGGGTGATGAAAATATTCTTTATCTTGATCGTTGTGGTAGTTATGTGACTACATACACTTGCCAAAACTCATAAAACTTTACACCCAAGAATAGCAGACTTTACTGTGTGTAAATTATACATCAATAAACCTGATTAAAGTGATCCCTTTTGCTAATTTGCACAAAGGCATTGCTCACTAAAGCTAAGCCATGTGCCCACTGGGTGGCATCTTCCTAGAGGAATCTCTTTTGTCTAATTTATGCAAAGGCAACAAATGAGATAGTAGTGGTTTTGTCTTATTCCATGTTGAATCCTATTTTTGTATTTTTAAAAATTTAGGTAAAATTATGTATAAATACACAATATTAAGAACGTAATTAAAAAATACACCTGATTTTTTTTTCTTGCATGTAAATATGCTTTCTTTTTTTTTTTCTTTTTTCTTTTTATTGTATTTGGACTCTGGGGTACATGTGCACATCCTGGATCCTGCAGGATTGTTGCATAGGTACATATGTGGCAAGGTGGTTTGCTGCCTTCATCTCCCCATCACCTATATCTGGTATTTCTCCCCTCAGTATCCCTCCCCCCCCTCCCCCCCCCCCCCTATCCCTCCCCACCCTCCCCACCCCCCGCTATCCCTCCCCTAGCCCCTCCCTACTGACCACAGTGTGTGAGGCTTCCCTCCCTGTGTTCATGTGTTCTAACTGTTCAACACCTGTCTATGAGTGATAACGTGTAATGTTTGGTTTTCTGTTGTTGTGTCAGTTTGCTGAGAATGATGGTTTCCAGATTCATCCATGTCCCTGTGAAGGACACGAACTCATCGTTTTTCATGGCTGCATAGTATTCCATGGAAATACACCTGATTTTTAAAAGCCTATGGTTTTTTCTTTTAAGACAGGGCCTTGCTCTGTTGTCCAGGCTGAAGTGCTATGGCATGATCTCGGCTCACTGCAACCTTCACCTCCTGGGTTCAATTGATTCTCGTGCCTCAGTCACCCAAGTAGCTGGGATTACAGGCACAAGCCACGACACCTGGCTAATTTTTTGTATTTTAATTAGAGACGGGGTTTTGCCATATTGTCCAGGCTGATCTCAAACTCCTGGCTTCAAGTGATCTGCCCACCTTGGCCTCCCAAAATGCTGGGATTACAGGCATAAACCACCACACTCAGCCAAAAAATATGAATTTTTAAAAGGCTGGAAAGAAATCATCAAAGCCTCTGTCTCAAGAAGCTAGGAAAAATATCCCAACCAAACAAATCAAACTGGTCTAAGCTGGTGATGATGATACAATTCCTCTTTTGTACAGTTATGTTTTCCCTCATGGCTAGTACCTGATGATACAAGCATCCATCCAAGATCCTTTTCTGAATCAGTTATTTCATGGAGGAGGGGACGGTGTCATAAAATGATAATTTTTAAATCCTGTCATTTTTCTCAGCACCACCCTCTTACCAACTGAGCTAATCGACCGCCCAATCCTGTCATTTTTCTATGTGTATTAGTTAACATTCTCCTAATCTAGAAGGAAGCACTTTCCCTCATTAACTGGGGTTTTTGGTTACCCAAAACATGGTTTCTGCTGGAAAAGCAGGTAACTGCCTAATTCTTTTCTTCTAATGAAACTGTTGCTCCACTCAGTCATTGTTTTGTTGAGTCCAACAGATTTAGAAAATATGAGAAATTATGTTCTTGTTCAAACTGTTGCTTTGGGTGTTAAAAATAATTGGTTTGATTGGATAGTGCTAAATTTGTAATTAATTTGAGGAAAAACATAATACAGAATAGAATGTACAATATAATCCTTGCATTTAACCTATATATTTTCATATAGATACAAGTATGTATGGGTAAAGTATATGGTTAAGTGTATGGTAAAGGTTGTACTTCAAGTTCAAATAGGGGAAAGGATGATCTCTTCAATAGATGCTTCTGGGAATCTGGGTATCTATATGAAAAAAAAGTCAGAGTCTTGTCCTATGTCACTTATTAAGTTCCAAATAGATTTTTAGAACTTATAATAGTACTATAGCAGTATAGGGGAGTATTTTTCTTTTTCTTTTCTTTTCTTTTTTTTGTTTTTTTTTTGAGACAGGGTCTCATCCTGTTGTCCAGGCTGGAGTGCAGTGGTGTGATCATAGTTCACTGCAGCCTCGACATTCCTGGGTCCAAGTGATGCGCCAGCCTCAGCCTTTCAAGTAGCTGGGATTACAGGTGCGTGCTACCATGCCTAGCTAATTTTTGTACTTTTTTGTAGAGATGGGGTTTCACCATGTTACCCAGGCTTGTCTCAAACTCCTAGTCTCAAGTGATCACATGCCTTGGCCTCCCAAAGTGCTGGGATTACAGGTGTGAGGCACCATGCCTGTCTTTAGGAGATTATTTTTCATAAGCTTCAGTTGGGGAAGAAAAAAGCCATAAATGGAAAGACTGATGAATTTAACTACATCAAAATGGAAAAACTTCAGTATGTAGAAAGACAATATAAACAAGATTGAAACAAACTACAGACTGGGAGAAAGTATTTGCAACATATAAAACAGAGAAACAAGTACTATCTATACTAAATACAGCCCTTCTGTGAAATCCATAAGATAAAGCTAATATCTTTTGTGCCAGGAAAACAGGCAAAGGATGTGAACAGGCAATTTACACAGCTACAAGTGACCAGTAAACATGTGAACAGAGGCACAACCTCACTACTTAACAGTGAAATGTTTTCTGCAACATTGTTATACCACTTATCAGTTATCCAATTGTCAAAATTTGCAAAGATAATTTTTGCAGCATTGTTTTTTATTGCTTAAAATTAAAGAAAACCTAAATGTCCACCAGTAGAGGAATGTTAAATAAGCCATACTATAGCCACACTGTGGAATACAATGCAACAGTTAAAAAGATCAACATTTATTGACAAAAGAGTCCCAATATATATTGTAGAATGAAAATATCAAGTTGTGAAACATATGTAGTATTTGATACCCTCTAACATTATTTCTATCTCTCTCTCTCTCTCTCTCTCTCTTTGAGACAAAATTTTGCTCTTGTTGCCCAAGCTGGAGTGCAGTGGCACAGATCTCGGTTCACTGCAACCTCTACCTTCCAGATTCAGGTGATTCTCCTGCCTCAGCCTCCCAAGTAGCTGGGATTACAAGCATGTGTCACCACGGCCAGCTAATTTTGTATTTTTAGTAGAGATGGGATCTCTCCATGTTGGTCAGGCTGGTTTTGAACTCCCAACCTCAGGTGATCTGCCTGCCTCGGCCTCCCAAAGTGCTGGGATTACATGCGTGAGCCACTATGGCTGGCTAATTTTGTGTTTTTAGTAGAGATGGGGTTTCTCCATGTTGGTCAGGTTGGTTTTGAATTTCCAACCTCAGGTGATACGCCCACCTTGGCCTCCCAAAGTGCTGGGATTAGAGGTGTGAGCCACTGTGCCTGGCCATACTTCTCTTTTTTCAGACAGAGTCTCATTCTGTTGCCCAGGTTGGAGTGCAGTGGCATGATCTCAGCTCACTACAACCTCCACCCCCTGGGTTCAAGTGATTCTCATGCCTCAGCCTCCCAGGTAGCTGGGATTACAGGGCTGCGCCACCATGACTGGCTAATTTTTGTAATTTTATAGTAGTAGAGACAGGGTTTTGCCACATTGGCCAGGCTGATCTCAAGCTCCTGAGCTCAAGCAATCTACCTGCCTCAGCCTCTCAAAGTGCTGGGATTATAGGTGTGAGCCACGGTGCTGGGCCAGCATGCTGTCTTTGATATTTATTCATGTTGTTGCATGTATCAGTACTTTAATACTTTTTATTGCTGAATAGTATTCTACTGTATATATGTACAACAATTTGTTTATTCATTCTCTTTTTTTTCTGAGTTTTAGCTATTATGAATAAAGCTGATATAAACATTCATGTACTAGTCTTTATGTAGGCATGTTTTCACTTTTCTTGACTAAATAATACTCAGAAGTGAACTTGGGTTGTATGGTAAGTGAATGTTAAACTTTATAAGAAACTAAGAAAGATGTCTCCAAAGTGGCTGTATCAGTTTACACTCCTGATGATAATGTATTAGTATTCTGGTTTCTCCATGTTCTCAACAACATTTGGTGCTGTTAGTCTTTTGATTTCAGCCATTCTAGTGGAAGTATGGTGGAATGTCATTGTGTTTTCTATTTGCATTTCTCTGATTACTGAAGATGTTGAGGACTGGATATCTACCTTCGTGAGTGTTCATTCAAGTTTGTACCCCCTCTAACAATGGATTTTTCTTTTTACTGTTAATTTGTAGGAATTCTTTATGTATTCTGGATATAGGTGCTTTGTCAGATACATGTACTATATATATATTTTTTCCAAATCTGTACGTTACCTATCCATTTTGTTAATAATGTTTGTGGATGAAAAATAATTTCAATTTTGATAAAGCCCAATTTATCAATTTTATCTTTTATTATTAATGCTTTTTGTGCCCTGTCCAAGGCATCTTTGCCTTCCCCAAGGTCATGAAGCTATTCCTCCTTTTTTT